ATTCAAATAAAATTGTGATTTAATTTAGTTTTCTTTTATTTCATTAGATTTTTTACCTACGTGACTTTATCGAAAAAACCAACGAGTATGAATCCTTGCAGTCACGAAAGCTTCAAATCTAGAGTAGATCTCACCTACCCCCCACTCTCTCGAGTGGAGGCCCTTCTATCCGCAGAGCCGTCCTACGCGTGACGTTCCCAGCAGACGCTCTGCACTCGTGCGGTAGCGATGAACCTCTTTCACGCCGCGCACGCAACGCCTCCCATCATCATTCCTCGCTTGTGAAAGAAAAACAAAAAATATATCCCGCTGCTCGCCTTCACCCGCGGAGACCGCTCGACGCGTCTCCCCCCCCCCCTCGCTCCCGGTGGGCTCCGAGGCGCATGCCACCGACGGAGCGCCAAACGCGCACGCGATCCTGGGGCCGGCAATGAGCCAGCGGCGACGACGCAAATCAAATGACAGCGATCCGAGTATCCGCACCCGCCCTCGCCAGCGAGAACGATGATCAGATACAGCTGATGGTGATCACCATGAGAATCATCACCATCAGCAGCAGCAGAAGATGATACACCACTCGCCACGCGATTGTTATCCGTGGGCAGGAATGGAACTCGGAGTGCCACCATCGTCGTCGGCAGAACGTAGAGCCATCGGTTGCTTAACTTACGCTTTTAGCGATCCACCTGCTTCCGGTCTTAAATAGAGCAAGATAAGCCCAGAAGCCGACACTACGTGTGAAATCACCACGCCAGCCAGCGCGGTTTGGTGAAGGCAGCGAGCGTGCGACACGTCGGGGTGGCAGTTGCATTGCGCTGCCCTCCCGCTGCCAAGTCGCACGGCGTAGACCCGCAGCAGCTGACAGCAACCGCTCTTCGGCGGGGGGTGAGTCGCTCACCCCGTGCGCGATCCCGCCAGGCTCAACCCCTGCTTAGCTTCTTCGATCTGACGACACCGGGTGCACTCGGAGCGATCTCCATTCTCGGGCTGATCAAATAAGTCACAGAGCACGGCGTCGAATTAAATACGTTTATTAACAAAAGGTCGCATTACTCTTAACTAAAGCAGGTTGGGCTGATTGAACACTCATTACCACAATGAATTTCACGCGTCTCCCCCCCCCCCCCGCGTTGTTCAACGGCAGTAAAACTGCGAGCAGTGGAGACACTGGGTCTCCAAAACACGGCTAACGACGCTCCTGATATTCGTACATTCATCGTTCATCTGTGCGGGTAAATGTTCGCCCAGCGGCAGTTATTCCCTTAAAAGCCTCGAAAGCTGGTATCGAACTCGACGAGTAAGAGGCTAATTATTCACAACTGCGTATTCGTTTTAGTTGAAAAGCGTACTTTGGCCTCAACACCGATTGACAACAATTCTGTCGCACAACCGCACATCGTCGCTGATCCACGCGGCACATCTCGACGGTCGACAGATCTTATCGTGTTTCACCTTGTTACCTTATCTCGACAGATGACGACGCGCACCCGTGACACGCGACGGATTCGCCAGGCGAGAGCGCTCCGGATTTTGCACCGTGGATGCCAGTCGCGTCCGCCCTGCGTTGACTACAAAAATACATCTCTATTTTAAATCCTCACGGACGAGTTCCCGATGGCATCGCCAGTCAAAAGTACACCTGTGATTCAAGTCCAAGTACGAAGTGCTGCTCCAATAACCGCGCTTCCATGAACTACAGAACTAGAGGGACTGTGGTTTGCCCACCCACACTCCCACCTACCCAACCTCCCAGTTTCCATGAATCTAGATGACTCAAATTGGACGCCCGTTTGCGTGGTCCGAATTCTACGCGACAATTCTGTTTTCGGAGCGTAAATGGTCAATTTCCAGAGTAAGAGCTGCCCCAACTCGCGCGATAAACTCTTGAGTCGACTCGTGCCAACCAATCGTGGAAACTCAAAGTGCCTGTCAGCTCGAATTCTTGGAGCAATGAGACCAACTCGAATTTGAAGTTGATGCAAATAAGCTATTAAAAGTCCAATTCAAGGCCAATCGTTGTTGCATCTGACACTCGTACAAATTCTCCTTAAGTGCTTGATCGACAAGAAGGCGTTTCAATAAGTTGCAAGTTTTCATAATCGTGTAATCTATGTCAAAGCGATTTGGGTGACTGCTGCGCAATGAATGGGGCATGACCCCAGGGACTCACGTTTCGATGCAGCCATCCTATCCGTTTATATATATAAAAGTTCCACAATGCATACTGCCGCCACCATATCGCAGTTTCACCCTCCGACCTCTTTCACTTGCCGCTGCACCCTCAAAACGGGCGAAACCGAATCACAGCCCCGCCGCCTTTCTAATGTGCAGATGTTCAAGGGTCTTTGATCACATGATACGTCTGCCACCTAGTGGCCAACTCTGGGATGGAGAAAAACTATTGCACAATCGTGCCTGATCACACCTGGCTCTCGGTGCGTGATTTATACGGAAATTGCACCAAGTTGCAAAATTGCTAAGTCACTTATTGAAACATCCTCGCCTAATTTACAGCTTAAACATCGAAGGACAAAATTCAAACGGCGCATTATGCCACGGAAACAAACACTTCTGTCAAACGATGAGAAGCAAGGCATCCCTTAGTTATCCTTCCGGTACAAATAACCAACACGCTGTCCCGTGCATTAGCAGTTGAGAAAAAAGAAAAAGACACCATTATGGCATTCTCAATAGAATAAATGTGGTTAGACCTACACGACCCAAAGCGATTTGCAGCTAATGAATTCACAGTTAAAGGCGGTGTTGACGTTTGTGCCGCGGTCACACGGGGAGGGGGAGGCGCCGTTCGCCGGAACATCCCGACGACCGCCACCGCCGACGCCAAAAGAGGCTTTCACGACGGCGAAAGACAAAAAAAAACGAAACCAAAACCGCGACTCCGATTTTTCAAGTAACTCCTTGAAGCGAAAAGGGCTTTGTTCTCAAAAGCACCACGTTTAACCGACCCAATGTGAACTATGTCAATAAAATATCAACCTCTGCCGATTAATGTTTTTCTTCCCGGCGGCTAAAGCGGACCGTCCTAACGAGGGGGGGCGGCGGCGATACGAGAGGGCGCGGAAGGGAGGTTGCGGTGGCCTCCTCCATAAACAAAACCTCCCGCCGTGCGGCGTCCACGCACCAAGGCCGGGTCACGCAAACGCCGCCGGCAGAGGAGGCCGCGCGAGCAAAAACTTTGCCCCCATCGTTCGGAGTGCCGCGACGGGACATCGAGCCCGGGGACCGTTGGAAAGGGACAGGGCGTGAACCAAATTGACGCCGCGACAGCATCCCCCACCGATCCCACCCCCTACAGTGCGCGTAGAATCCTAAACCTCGCGAATAATCTGCCAGGAGGGGTGGAGGCGGGGGAATTGGGGGACTGGCATCAGTGCGTAAGAACAGATCTACACACACTTGACTAATACACTTCCGGATATCGTTGGCTAATGGGGTATTTTCTTTTTTTAACCTTGGCACTTTATCGACCATAGAGTTGTTATTTTACGGTGCTGTAAATACAATTTTAAACAAAATTCACAGTTGAAAATGCAGTTTTGTGAAAGAACAGCTTGGGGAGCGGTGGTTCAGTGGTCAATGCATGAACGCAGCGATTCCTAGCCATGGCGAACATCAGTGGTGAGCGGAACCTGAACCGATCCTGGCCACTGGCTCCCCTTCACCAACCCATGCTGGCCAGCGTGGTGCACTATGGTCAAACAACCTCCATAATCGACACAGCGGTGGCTTAACAAAGGGCTGTAAATAAATATTACTGTTGCCCATCTGCGGTCAAATCCACTGCGGGATGAATGCCTTCTCCCCCATGCCACCAACCGAATCTCTCGCAGGCCCTTACGACACAACGATCCGTCTCGCTCCTGCCCGCGCGCCCATCTCATCGCTCCATCTCCGTGGTTGTCACGTGCCACCAAGCGCATTCCCTCCATTCGCTGCAACTCCGCCCTTAAGTCTCGCCCACCGCCCGTCCACCCTTCTGCGCGACAGGTCAAGCACAAGCCCACTTGCGTTTCTGACGCCCGTAATCTACAAGGCAGGGGTAATGGCAGTGGTTGAGGGATGTATTTTGCTTCACAAGTGTGGTTACCCAAAGCGGTGGAGCGAGATAACCACTCGGATCTGCACCCCGTCACACACGCACGCACGCGGCTCCCGTGTGGAGTGCGAGAGCGGATCGGCATTACGATAATGCTCGGGTATAATCACTCGTGGAGTTAATCAACCGCAAGGAGCGCTGGCGACGGGTGTAATTCTTTTTTTGCTAAAGGCCATTAAGTCTGTGTTGAAAATCTGGCAGGAATTGTGATACACGGCGAGAAGCAAAGCTGTGGCTGGTACGTGGAACACTGTCCCGCAAAATCGACCAGCGCGCAAAACAGTATTCGCGGCGAGGTTGACCAGATCAATAACGTACAGCCCTGTTGTCAATCCGCTGCTGGATGAGGGCCACGGGGGGAGGGGGTCATGCTGGTGAAGGCGGGAGGTTAGACGTGGGAGCGCAGAAGATCAGTACAACAATGGATTTAACTTCAATTGCCCTACCGCTGCTCACCACGTATCCCCACCAGGTACGACCCACCACAAATCCCCGCGGCCAGTTCAGGACTGTTTAGCTTCCGAGATGTGACAGGGTCAGACGCACTGCGGATGATTTGGTGACGGGCGAAGAGCCCAAAGTGGCCGAATCATCGGCACGCCGTTTGCTTTGTCGGCGGTTACCAGCGTCCTCGTTAACCTCCACTCAGCCCAGGAATAACGGATTACAACGCAAACAGCAATCAACCAATTGACGTGCAGCCTCGGCGTTACTTAATCGAGCACCAATAAGGCACAAGTCAAATCCGGCGCTATTTGCCGATCGGTAGAGCGTGCGGTCACGAACCGTGGACAGCTACCCTGTGTCACACTTGTTGCGCACACAATAAACGTACAACCCTTTGCCAAGCCACTGCTTGACGAAGCACCCACCCTATCCCCCCTCAAGTTGTGTTGCATCATGGTGGTTGTATGACCATACTTCACCACACCTATTGGTGCGGCTTGGTGAAGGGGGCGCGGAGAGACCCGACAACGACGTTAGCCGTGGCCGGGAATCTACTTCACAGCGAGGTGCGCTAACCACTGCACCGCCCATCGTCACCGTGCCCCAGCACGACGAGCCGAGCGATCGATCAAATCGCTTCCCTGGAACCGCCTGCAACTGCTTTGTCCGCATCCGAGCGAGTAGTTGCACAACAAGGACTTGCGTGGCCGTGCCCTCTACCACATGCCCCGCCCTTATTCCGGTTAGCTCCACCCCCCATCCCGCCCCACCCCACCCACGTCAGGATTGCAATGACCAATCACATTTGGCGAACGTGCCGCGTGATGACGCACGTCGCGACGAATCGGCGAGCAGATCGACGTCTCTGCTGCGAGCGGCCGAGTTGCGCGACCGCTCGCAATCGGTTGTAGAGAGACGTCCACACACAAGCAAATTCAGTTGCGTGCAGACAGAGTTGCGTGACCGATCGCTCAGGGGTGGGCCCGGCGCGAGGTTTGAGGCTGCGGCACGATGCAAGGAGGCCGCCTGTGAGATCCGGAAGTCCCTCCGCAGTTTCTACCACGAAATAAAATCCAACGGGTCAAAGTGATTTCCTGTCCAACCAACAGCGAGGCAGTGAGTGCTCATCAGCAAGTTTAAAGCTCTGAGCCAGTGGAAATTACACATTCATATGACGGGGGCAGGTATTCCCGTATGACCACTCTTGACTGCGGTGCATATTTTATCGACCACTACGTGATGATGGGCTGAGCCAAGCCTCAACCCGACTGGAATTTGAACTTGCGACCTTCCGATTGAAGGTCAAGCTCTCACACAGGATCATAGGTGAGCTTGCCGATAATTCAAGATACATTCGCTTCAAAGACATCGTGTTAAGAGGTACAAACGTGGGTAATTTTGTGATTAGCAATGGAGGTTAACACTACGGTATGGGGGGGGGGGAACACATCCAAATCAAATTAAACTACACCTACATTCAACATGCCCTTCACAAAAACCTTTAAATCAAAGGGTTCACGAATAACATTGATTGACCGAAGTTCACAATGGCCGGTTGGATGTCAAACTAAAAAAAAAATCAAAGCAAAATTCCCCTAACACCCGCCCCCTGACAGCACACAGTGGTATAGCATGGTTGGCATGGTTGGCATGGGCTCTGTGTGCAACGCAATGAAATTGAAACATTTTGTGCCAACTTTCTCGAACAGGAGGTCGTGGGTTCGATCATTACCCTGACGCATGTACATTTGGAGTTTGCATGTCCTCTCTCCCCGTGGCCGTGTGGATTTTTGTCCGGGTACTCCGGTTTTTCCCTCCACATTAAGAATCAATGTGTGCTCGTGAGAGTATTTGGCTGCTGTAAATTTCCACGTGAAAAGCCACTTCGTTGACCTATCATTTGTGGCCAGGTCGCTTCTGAAAAAGAGCTATATCGCCCATTTGGCCTTACCTGGTAAATTTAAAAAAATGTTCATTGCACCCCGGTGCAGTTGCACCGCCTGCACACTCGCCAGCTAGGCCAACGAGCGCCTAGGCTGGGTCAAAACTAGGAGACATGAACCGGAGCAGAGAGGACAAATTTTATCCAATGTGCAGACGTGGCTTCACCCCGACAGCTGCAACGCTCGGCACTGAGCACGGCAGACGTCTTGACGCGGCCTCTCTCCATCTCCCCCACGCCACCCCCCCTCCTCCCCGCCTCGAGTGGCGGGCGGGGAGACCCGGGGCTCCGTCACTTGGTCCCGTTGAGCACGCGGACCGTCTGCCGGCCGTAGCGGTAGTAGCTGTAGCCGGATCCCACGGTGGTGAGCGCCGTCACGTACCTTGGGGCGCACAAACACAAAGATCCCCCCCACTCCGTGTAGCCTCCGTAGGCTGGTTGGGGCAAGTGCTGCTCGCCAGAATGGCGTAACGAGGGGGGTGTGACCCAGCATAATGGCCAGCCAGCTGCCTTTGTCTAACCCAGTGATGATGTTTAGACATCAACATACGAGTGGGCCTAGGACCGGTTCAGATATCACACGCCGCTGGTGTTAACCGCAGCCGGGAATCGAACTCAGGTCGGCGGGTTTGTCGCAGCGTGCAACCACTGCGCTGCCGCTCCACGCACACACAGATCCATGCTCGAACTGGGACCCGTGTCTTTCCGACAGGGTCTTTGACTATAAACACCTGGGCAGTTCACCAGCATAGGTCCACAAGCAAGTTTGACTCTGGTGACGGACGACGCCGTATATCGAAACTGGTCCCGAGTTTGCTCGTGCTTAACCAATGCTGCCGATGTTGCGCTGGAGCAGAAGGCCTGATGCAACTTGACCTACCGCGGTAAATGTCGTGCAATGCGACTCTGCCCTCTGGTGGTGAAACCGCGTGTGAAAAAAAAATGCAAGCGCCGAAGCCATTGACTGTGCAGCAGACGCTGAAAACTGTTTTCTTTAGAACTGCTTCTTGTGTTTAGTTTGTTGTCCTTCCCCGCACCTCCGATTAGCACGGTTTGCTCCATACGGTTCAAAACAAGTTCAACATACAGTACATGCATACTGCCGAGACGCAACTTTTGTCACTGCTGGCTGAGCGACTCCCTACGCTGTGCTGTTCGTGGTCAGTGGGGGGTTTAGGGTGGTCAGTGCGGGTCGGCGAAGGCGGTGCAGTGCGGTGCGTCGCAGTGTGGTGGTGGTGGTGGTGTGCAGCGCGGCGGGGATCACCAGAGCGCCACCAGCAGGGGGCTGTCCATTTGGTGCAGCACCGGTGCAGCCAGAGACGCGGCCACCAGGAAGAGCTGCACGGCCGTGTTCACCTACGCGCGCACGCACGCACGGTCAAATGCGCGCGCACGCGCAAAGATCTCTTGTTCCGCCTACATAAGGCGTGGGGGAAAGTACCGTGAGCGAGCAACTTTCAAGGCTTCAACTGACTTATACCAAGGTCAGGGGTCGGCGACCTGTGGCTCCAAAGTCGCATGCGGCTCTTCGAGGGCCGCTTCGTGACACGTTATTTATTAAGGACCACACCGTCTCGTATTCACCACGTGCACTGCGCCTCTTGAGATATTGAAGTTTTTTTTACCGAAATCGAAAAAAATGGCTGTTATTGTTGTTGCAGACCCCTGACCTAGACAGTTACCCATAACTCCACGAAGATCCCCTGTATAGCCTTAACAGACTGTTGGGCAGGTGCTGTTCGCGAGCACCTATGAACGCCAGCACAGCACACGAGGTGGTGGGTGGCCATCACCACGCCTGGCTGCCTTTGTCTCTCCAGTGGTGAAATTTTTTACACACTGTACCAGGTTCTCATTTAAGGCTGAGTAGAAACAGGGGAGGCCCAGGAACGGTCCAGGTAATCAGCACCGGTGTTGGTGGCCATGAGCGGGATTCGTATTCGGGTCGCTGAGTGCAGCGCGCTGACCGCTACACATACACGCTTGGGATTGTCTTACGATCGATTGAAAAGCTGTAATTGGTCCATAACATGTATCGACTTGCCTTGCTGATGAGCGTTGGTTTAAGCTGAGCAGTAGCAAAACGTGGATTGAAGTATCGAGCCAGGGTGCACTAGAAATATATAAAACGACACAGCAGCAAGAACAACAAGTTACATACGTGCTTATAACCAGCGCTAAGGGTAAGTTGGGTACTCGGCACGCTACCCGTTAAAAAATCAACACAACGCAAGTCATTTAAATTCAACGTGCAACAAATACGCACTGCGATCGCGACTCCTGAATCGAGATCACCTGAATGAATGGCAAAGCGGCAGAGATTTTGTGCCCAAAACTACGTGTCCAACTTAATTCAAGTTAAAACTTCACTGTAGTTCTCAACATGGGCAGGTTTTTTTTTTATTAACAGAGCGCTGCACGATAGGCAAAAATTTTGACGGGTGTAAAACGCGGTGCAAATAATTACATGACGATTACCTTAATGAAGATCAACAAACAGAGGTGCCCTAATGAAGAGAGTTTTTAAATCAGTGAGCATGAGCCGCTGTGACACGTGGATAAGAAATACGGACACTGACAAAGATACTGAAACAAAAGCTGAAGAGTGCGCAAACAAGCGTGGCGAAAGAGGTGTACGCTGGGAATTACACCGAAAGTCAGAGGGATACAAGAGGTCATACGTAAGTGAGAAACATCTTACCGACTATTAAAAGTGCAAGTGGGTTTTTGCGCAGGACATGTCGCTGTGAGGGATGATGGCTGGGTGGTCTAGCCTTACTTATGACAGAGTGGCAGCCAAAGGAGGGAAACAAACTGGATAGGATGCCCACTGTGGAGACGGGGCGATGAAATCTGCTCGTGCGCAGGAGCAAGGTGCATGGATCGTTGCATCTCGCGACCGTGAGCGACAGCTGACAGCAGCTTAGGGATGCTTTGGTCCCAGCAGTGGATAGATCATACTGTTGTTGCTGATGATGCTGCTGCCAGTGCAGGTTTAGTGCGGTACTCACTGGAGGAGGCACTGTGCGGTAGCGCACGTAAAAAACAGCGCCGATGAGAGCGATGTCCCTCGAAATGATCAGGGCGGTCAGCGGCACTGTCAAACACACAATGGCGCGATGTTAACTACTTCGCCTGGGATATAGAAGGTCGTGGGTTCGATGCCGACCCTGACGCCTGTCATATTTGGAGTTTGTATGTTCGCCCCGTGGTCACGTGGATTGTTTTTTCTGGGTCCTCCGGATTTTCCCTCCACATCTAGAATCGACGTGCGTTCGGAGTATTTGGTTGCGATAAACTTCCACGTGATAAGCCACTTCGTTGAGTTATCATTTGTGGCCAGGTTGCTTCTGAAAAAGAGCTACATAGCTCAGTGGGCCTTACTTAGTAAAATAAAAAATAGTTTAGTAAGTAATTTAGTTTAGGTTCGTCACGGTTTAACAAAGGGGGCCGTAAATTATTATTTCAATTAAGTGCGGGTAGTGTGCGAGACCATACGAACCAGTGTCTCTGAATGTGGGCGGATGGCCGAGTGGCTCAAAGAGGTCAGAGCGCTGAGATGGCACTGCTGAGAATTCAAACCGGCTTCTCAAGTGTCGTGATTTGAAGGTCTTGGTACACTCACCAATAATGACTTAATTTTGATCAAATGCAAGCTCTTGAGAAATGAAACCAATATTGGCACGACCGACATACGATGAACATTGCTCCCAGTGGCAAGAAAAAAACATATGCCCTGTGGTAGGACAGGTTGAAGAGTGCTGCCCTCTACTCTGTGTACCAGAGGTGCACTTGAAGGGATCTCAGAAGTAGTTCTGTGACATTTGCTTCTGACACCGTTGTCAAACAACTGCTCTGCGAGAGCTCCCAATGGACACATGGTCTCATGACCTGAAGCCGACAGCACAATCTGAATAAACTTGGGAGAAATCAAGATGTGGAAAAATAGTAAGTCCAAGTCATTTGTCACTGGGTGCAGGTGTACGCCAAGTACTCGCATAGACCTGGACGAGGGCAGGTGAGAAACGTCTCGTATTCACCTAAGCCAGGGGTCGGGAACCTTTTTGACTGGGAGAGCCATAAAAGCCAAATATTTCTAAATATATTGCATTGAGAGCCATATAGTATTTTTAACGTATAATAAATTAAATATGTATTACTTTTAATGCGACTTCTGGTGCTGCATGGTTTTGCTGATGGCCTTGTAGTCTGGTTCGTACGTGGTGAGGTTGAGCTTCATGCAGGCGTTGAGGCCCCGTGACCCGTGAAATTTATCTTCAAAACTAATTTCTGTTTACTTTAAAATGACACAGTATTATTAAGCAATATCACAAGTATTTTAAAATCAGTTCCAAACTGATTTTTGCATTTTTTTTCAACTCAAAATTGTCTGGGAGCCATATGCCGCCACCAGAAGAGCCATATATGGCTCGCGAGCCATAGGTTCCCGACCGCTGACCTAAGCCGTTCATTTATTATTACACGCTTTTATTTAACTCACTTTTCGTCTGTTGCATCCTCAAAAAAGAAATCTTGTAACTCAATTTTTACACACTTCCCAATGTGCTATCGACTGCAAACTTCGTATAGGAATGTCATACTGATGACAACACGATATTCTATCATAAAAAATCCAAAACATCTATTTTAAAACTTTTGACACTCTTTAACTTACTGTATGTGTTGTATCCAAAAATCTTGTAACTCAATTTCAACCGTATTCCCAATGTTGTATCGACTGCAAACTTCGTATAGCTATGTCATACTGATGACAATACTATATTCTATCATTGAAAATAAAAAATATATATTTTTAAACAATCTTTTTGACGGCTCTAATTGTCCACGCTCAACTGACGTTGCCTGTAAATGACCACGGTCCCTTACGTCACGGTAAGCCTCGGAGAGCCACGCCCAGGGGCGGGGGATGTGGAAGGAGGGGAAGGGCGATGGGGGAAGGGGGCAGGGGGAGGGGCAGCTCGGACAGTACATTTCATTAAAGCATGTTTTTTAAAAGTATTTTTAAATCTTTTATATCGAGGAGAGCCTCGCTAAACAAGGTCGGCCAGTGGCGCGGGATAACATCTGGACTGCGCGGTGAGCGGAGCAAACTCATGCTCACCAGGAATGAGGTGAGCGCAGGTGAGGCTGATGTAGAGGACGCTGATGAGGATCTTATCTGCGAGTGGGTCGAGGGCGCTGCCCAGCGCGGACTGCTGGCTCGGCCAGGTCCGTGCGATAAATCCATCCAGCTGCCGTCGGAACAAAAACAGGGTGCAGCAAGTCCGTAAAGCACGGGTCTCTTCCCGGACATCACAGCACCGTTTTCTTTGACACGCATCGCGGTCCGTTTCACACGGGATGCTGAGACATTGCTGCCCACGTTGATATTAATACACTAGGTTCGGACTCTCGTCTGTGAGGTCCTCCTCCCTGACATGAGGACTAATTCCACTCTCTCTGGGAGGGTAATTTTATATCCAGGCCATCTCTCTTCTGTACAGACTGATTTACAATATACGGACAACATAGTAAACCACTGTAGCCCTGCGCTCCTTCAGTCCTGAAATCTCCGATTCCTGACCCTTGCTGTGCCCTGGGTATATCAACAACTGACTTCTCTCCTTTGTCGCGTTACACTTGGCTATATAAGAGTTATGAATGGAAGTGTTCTCATAGCATGGGGGCATGGCAATCCCAACGATTGGAACGTCTTCTTCGTGGCATTTATTCCCACTCACAGAGTAAATCTCCCTCGTCTGCTTCCTCCACTCATCCCCATCCTGAAATGAATAAGACCTGATGCATGCCCCAGAAAAAGTTTTTGGTTTTATTTTAATGCCAACTCAACTGAATCAGTGCCCCTTCTCTTCCTAATCACTTCCACACCTCAACCAATATGCCATGGGGAAGGCCAAATGTCTTACAACTCTTTAGTCATTCTATTTCTTCCTCGACCGCTGCTACGGAGCCTGCATTTACCAAGGCTCGGTTGGAACAACACAACGGCAATATAATGAATTAATTAGAACATAATAGAAAGACAAAAAAAATACAAATAAAAGCACACTAAAAACCTACGTTCTCGCTCGCAGTCCCTACTACCTGAGTGATGCACTGAGCCCAGCCTTCTCCCCTTCCCATAACCTACTGAGTTTGGACTTCAGCTCCACGGAATTCCTGTACCCCCCACCCTCTCCCTGCCTTTTACCGGGCTCTTGAACAAAAAAAGCCAAGCACACAAGTGTTGAGGATGAGTGCGGGGGGGGGGGGGTGCTGGATGCGAATATCGCTGGAGACGGGCGCGTCGTACGAGGTCGGTGACGCCGGCCAGCGAGAGGAGCCCCAGCGCCAAGCCGAACTCCTCGTCGGCGACGAGGCACGCGATGACGGGAGAGAGCGCGATGCGCGTCACGCACAGGGCGTTGGGCACCGTCCAGGGGTTCTCAGTACTGGCACGCACACCAAAAACAAATGCCCACCAGTCAAATGCAGTACTCTCAGATAAGGTGATAATATAATATAATTGCTAAGTATAGAGCGCCTTCGTCCAAGGCGGTTGACAAGAGCTTACAAAACGGTGACAGAATGGAATGATTTTGATGGTGGGGGCGTTCGACTAGGACTGAGGAATGAGTGACTGCAATAGAGGCACTTGGGGATCAAGAAGGGGTAAGGGAGGGATGTGAAGGAGTGGATGGGTGAGGGGAAGGAAGAGTATGGGCAATAGAGAAGCCGTGAGGCTTTAAGAGAGTAACGGAAGGAGGTTCAGGAGGGAGGCTACTTAATATGCAAGGTAAGTGGATGAGAATGAAGCCGTTAGCTCCCGTCCATCTGTCTGTAACGTGGAGGAGTGATAACTTTCGTAGACATTATCCGATATGAACGAAACTTTAGAATCAAGTTGTTTTACTCTTACGGACTTATCATGTTGAAAAACGGTCGAATGTAGTTTAGGATTTCCACAAAACTTGATGACATGCCAGACCAAAAAAGGACTACGACCTGACAGGTACCGGTGGGCGTCCGTACTAATAAACTTCTTCCGAGGACAAACTCTTTTTGCAACGCGTTACGTAATCCAAGCTTAAGTATGCTTCATAAAAAAACAGCTTTAAGCCGAAATAACAAAACAAAAAATGCGCTGTTTAGGAAAGTTGTATACTACTGCAAAAATATATATAACCAAAAAATTAACGGCTAAATTTCCTTTTCCAAATAAAAAAAACCGAGGGTAATTTACCAGCTCTGAGAAGATGTTCTCTTTGGCCGAGTTGCCGGGAGCCCGAGTCCCCGAGGCAGCTCCCGACGAGTCGCCCCCTCCTCCTCCTCCACCCCGACCCCGGGTGTCGTCGCTTCCCCCGCTGCCCTCCTCGGGCCCTTTCGCCCCGGCGGAGCGGCTCCCCCCGGCGTGAGGAGTTCGCGCTACGCCCCTCCAAGTCGACCGCAGCAGGGGATGACCCCAGCGCCACCCCGATGTGACGACTTGGGGGGCCCTGAGCGACCGTTCACTAGGACAGAGGCCACCGTGGCGGCTGCTGCTGTTGCAGCAGCTGCAGTAGCAGCAGGCATAGCAGGTGCTCCTGTTGCCCAATGAACGGGAGCGGATGGTCGTGGTGGCTGGACTGCCTGGTCTCCTGAAGTGTCTCAACGACGCCACAGATCCTCGTGTTTTTCCCACGACAGAGGGTGAGAACAATGGGGGTGACGGTGACAGTGACGATGATGGTATTGTGGAGCAACTGGACGGAAAGGTGGCGGGACAAGACAGGAAAGAGGGAAGAGAGGAGCAGCACGAAGTGGAGAACGACGACGAGGAGGAGGAGACCAAGGGCAGGGGGCAGAAAGGGGAGACCGATTTTGATTCAAGTATTGACGACGGCGACAGTGAGGGGGATAACAGTGACGGCGAAGATGGCGACGACGATGATGACGGTGATAATGAAAGAACAGAGGAGTGTGAGAAGGATACACAGAAGGATGAGGAGGTCGACGAGGAACGGAGGCACCGACCAAGCGCTGACATCGTCACCATCACCATCTTCGCCCTCTTTCACCGCGCGAGTCAGACGTTGCTCATGTCCTCACACGCACTGCAGCGCGTACAGCTGCCCGGCCCGTTGTGCAGGAAGCGCCCGGTGCCGCTGTTGTTGCTGTTGGTTTGGTTGTTTGTTTGTCTTTGTTTACTCTTACGAGGACGACGACAACAACAACAACTTCAGAGCGGACAACACGCGGGGCCTGGGCGCGGCCATGATTGCTGCCGTAAAGCAGCGCGACAGCTGACGAGGTCGAGGGCGTAAAGTAGTTTTTTTCCGCGTGCGGTGAAAGTCGGTGGGAGGGAGGGGAGGGGTCTTCGTTTTACGACGTTTTACGACAATCGCATTCAACGTCCACTTTTAGTCAAGGTCATTGGGTCAAAGTGTCAACCTCAAACCAATTGCGTGGATGACACCACATCTCGCTATCCTTTCCCGCCAGGTTACACGCTTCAGACTCTCCGGCGGCGGCGTCGAAACAAAAGAGAGGCTGTGTTGGCCCCCGTGGGCTTTACTGGGGAATTAAACTTTGTGAACTTAAAACTTTATGGATTTCGATTTAAAGCTTTCGTGACTGCAGAAATTCATATTCTTGGTTCTTTTCGGTAAAGTCACGTAGAAGGGAAATAATAAAATAAAAAATAAACCATAATAAAATAAAATTATTTTGTTTTATTTTTGTTATTTTATCATTATAGTCACATAGAAGGAAATAATAAAATAATAAAAATACAAATTTTACAAAATAAAATGTATTTTATTATGTTTTATTTTATTATTTCCCTTCTATGTGACTTTATGAATGAAGAGCAGACCCCCTGTTTTTGAAACATCGCCACCATCCATCTCTCTGGCAGGCATTGGTAACACTCGCGTTTCACGGTGAGAAGAATTGCATCGGTTCGAGATTTGACTAGGGCGCCTTTCTCTGTGTGTGTGTGAGTCCGTTGAACTGCTTTGCGCACCGTTCGTAGCCAACCGTGCTAGTGTGGAGTTTATACCCTTTGGTTCTTTCGGTAAAGTCACGTAGGTATAAAATAAAATGAATCACGACGTTTCGGGCGCAACACAAGCGTCCGTCATCAGGTGGGAAAGCATGGTCTGCTGCTGAGGCAGCAGACTGTTTTAAAAGGTTTGAAATGGGTGTAGCCCAAGGGTCATAAATAAGTGGCCCGGGGCTAGTGATGTTAATGTGAGAAATTAGCATGTAACTTATTCTATACCTACGTGACTTTACCGAAAGAACCAAAAAGTATGGATTCCTGCAGTCACAAAAGCTTCAAATGAAGAGTGTGGAGTTTGTGTATTCTCTCTCTCTCTCTCTTCTGCGTGGGTTTCCTCCAGAATCTCCGTGTTCCTGCCAGAGCAACAAAGAATCCACACGCAACGCTACGCAACCAGCATTGGCAAAACATCCTCCCGGTCAGAAGTTGTCTGGAGAATGACTCAATTGGGATTAGAGAATCTACATCATGAGACCTCCTTTGCCAGTACCAAAATATAATAATAGGGTTTTTTCCCTTTTTTCTGGCAACAAAACTGAAACCTTATTATATTTTGGTACTGGCAAAGGAGGTATAATGATGTAGATGCTCACCCCAAGCCCTCATTACTTTGATAGTGCATTGTCTTTGAGCTGTGCACGCCTTTTGGCGTCCTCTGGTCTAGCACCAATTGAGACGACGCTCAAAAGAAAGCCGTCCCTTGGTGTGGACCAATCAGTTTCAAGGACAATGCATATATTATCATACTGTGTTTTTTTCGATTTAAAGCTTTCGTGACTGCAGGGATTCATCTTCTTGGTTCTTTCGGTAAAGTTACGTAGAAGGGAAATAATAAAAATAAAACATAATAAAATAATTTAATATAATAAAATAGTAATATATATAATATAATAATACAATAAAATAATAAATAATAATAATAATATTTACATAATTTATTATGTTTTATTTTTATTATTTTATTATTTCCCTTCTACATGACTTTACCGAAAGAACCAAGAAGATGAGTGTGTTTTTTGTTTGCATTTTGACTGAAAGTATTGTGGTTAATACAGACATGAATCCTCGTAAAAAGGTTTCAGTTTTGTTGCCAGTAAAAAGGGGAAAACCCCTACTATTATTATGGGATACGAGAATTTTACAAGCTGGAAGACAAGAACGAAGCCTAGGGTCCCGTCCTGTGGCTGTGTCCCAATAAAGTGGCTCTTGTCACATCGTCGTCTTGAGTCGTTACGACACTGTCGTTGAGTACACATCAACGCCTGCCACCGAAGAACACTGTCGATTCCAATTCCAGGACTGTCGGGGTCTAAAACGGAGAGGTGGCAACCGTGTTGGCACTCCGATGCCTGTCTTCCCTTCAGGAGTGAAGAGAGGTTAGGTAAATATAAACAAATTTAAAAAAAACTTTGATTTAAAGCTTTCGTGACTGCAGGGATTCATATTCTTGGTTCTTTCGGTAAAGTCACGTAGAAGGGAGATAATAAAATAATAGAAATATATATTTATAATATTTAAATATATATTTATATTATATATTATTTTATTATTATAAAATAATATATAATATAAATAATATAAATATATATTTTATAATAATAAAATAATATCAAATAATATATATTTTAAAAAACGTGTTTAACAAAAATATTGATATTTTCACTGCTATATCTTCACCATGGAACACAATAAAAATATGTTTATTTTATTTTAACTTACATTGTATTTAACGGCCCTGCACGATTATATGTTTTAATCAATTAATATGTCGTTTCAAATTCCCAACTCCCAATCTGTGATGTTATGGAGGAGCGGTCGTGCAGTGGTTGGTGCATTGCGTGCAAAATCCCGACAACCTGAGATCGATTCCCTGTTACGGATAACATTATTGAGGAGTCATACTTGACCAGGTTATAAGCCTCCCCTAGGTGGACTCAGCCTTAAAACGAGTACCTGATGCGGTGTCTAAACAACAGCACTGGGGAGACAAAGGCGGCCGGGCGTGGTGTTGGCCACCCACCCCTTCGTGCGCCGTGCCGGCCTTCATAGGTGCTCGCTAACAGCACTCGCCCCAACAGTCTGTTGAGGGCTATACGGGGGATCTTTGTCTTTGTGTCTGTGTGTGTGTTGGTATGTGTATGTGGTTGTTAGTGGTTGTGGCGTCAAGCCTCAGACCCTCCCAGCTCCTTTTCATGAAACACGAAACTAAACTTCACCGTCTCGGCTGGACCAACATCTGGCTTATATTATACACTCACAGACGCACACACATACACAGTCACACATACGGACACACATACGACTTAGGGAGGTCTTCATCTAGCAGTAGATAGATCAAAGCGATTTCCTGCTCAAATAACATTGGGGCGGTGCCTGTTTGCAGTCCTGAGCCAGTGGTGGAAATTCCATATTCTCCTGGTGGGAGCGAGTCTAACCCACAGGACAAAGCAACTGTCGATTTTCCCACAATGTGGTGTATTCATTGTATCGACCCCAGAATGATGATGGGGCCCCTCGTTCTCACGCGGAATAACCTGGCCGCTGTTAAGACGCATACGTAACGTGCCCGCGCGTGTCTGGAACGTGTCGCAATTCGCTGCTATTGCTTGACTGCCCCCTTGTCTATCTCTCCGTCTCTCACACATTCGCAAGATGAGTTTCCCTTGCTTTGGCTCCCACTCCGTCTGTTAGTCTCGACCGCCGGGCGTCATCCCTCACAGCGATGCTCTTCACTGCAAGGCCCCGCAAGCCACTGACGGCTCCTGATGGCCTTTATTGCGGCCCCCCTCCGATAATGCGCAACGAGTGAAAACACCTCCCCCCCGTCATGCCGTCAAACCCCCAAATGGTTTCAAATGTGTGGCGGCCCTCACACTGATGTCGTCTTATCAGCTAAAGTGGCCCTCCCTCTGAAAATGCGTCCTGCGCAGAGCGAAGGAAGAAGAGGGTCTCGATTTAAAGCTTTCGTGACTGCAGGGATTCATCTTCTTGGTTCTTTCGGTAAAGTCACGTAGAAGGGAAGTAATAAAATAATAAAACATAAAACATAATAAAATAATTCTCACGACGTTTCGGCTACAACGCAAGCAGCCGTCTTCAGGTGAAGAACGAGACACCTCCAACCCAGCTTATATATAAGCTCCTAGCTTGGCAGTGTCTCATTCTTCACCTGAAGACGGCTGCTTGCGTTGTAGCCGAAACGTCGTGAGAATTATTTTATTATGTTTTATTTTTATTATTTTATTACTTCCCTTCTACGTGACTTTACCGAAAGAACCAAGAAGAAGATGAGGGTCGTACTTGTCACGAATCGATGATTTTGGTACGGTCTGTCTCGTTTGTACTGCCTCGATTGTGTTGTCCGTTTCCTTTGCGTTCAGTCGTTTTTTGTTCTCTCTGTCGTTGATGCTTTACCGTCGATGTCATTTCTCTAATGTGCGTGTTTTGCGTGAGCCTCGCGTACCTCCGATTAGAACGGTTGGCTACGTATGGTGCGAAAAAAGTTCAACATACATGCATACCTCGTCTTTCAGTGCAATTGCAAGCCATGCTTCCTTGCGCAACTTCTCACCTGTTATTCCAATTAATTTGTCAATATCCACGATAAGCAGCGAACTTCTTTCGCACCGTATGTAGCCAACCGTGCTTATCGTAGGTGCGGAGGAAGGACAGCAAACTTAAACAGAAAAAAGCAGTTCTAAAGAAATGAGTTTTCAGTCTAGATTTAAAGGTACAAAGCTCCCAGTGGCTTACAAATATCGGGAGGAAGAGCGTTCCAGACGGCCGCAGAAGCGCATCTGAAGCGCGCGATGCAGACGACATTTTTCGATCAGTGCATGTCGTACCTGCTATCGGATGGATGAGACACATTCACAGGGAAAACGGCGTCGTGATTATTATTAGTTTTCCATGGTTTTCCTAATGGACTATTCTTTCACGGGGAAATCAGCTCGTGTGCAGGTGCTTGATGGATCGTTACATCGCAGAATTGTGACAGA